ATCTGACGCTTAACCTGTGGCACAGCACTGGCCCCTAAAATATTTCTTCTTAAAAATTTTTTTTAAAGATTTATTTATTTATTTGGAAGTCAGAGTTACACAGAGAGAGGAGAGGCAGAGAGAGAGAGAGGGGTCCTCCATCTGCAGGTTCACTCCCCATATAGCCGCAACAGCCGGAGAGAGAGAGAGAGAGGTCCTCCATCTGCAGGTTCACTCCCCATATAGCCGCAACAGCTGGAGAGAGAGAGAGAGAGAGGTCCTCCATCTGCAGGTTCACTCCCCATATAGCCGCAACAGCCAGAGCTGCGACAGTCTGAAGCCAGGAGCCAGGAGCTTCTTCCGGGTCTCCCACCCAGGTGCAGGGGTCCAAGCACCTGGGCTATCTTCTGCTTTCCCAGGCCATAGCAGAGAGCTGTGGATGGGAAGTGGAACAGCTTAGGAGTCCTGTGCTGTGGTGTTAGCAGGTTAAGCTGCTGCCTGATGTGTCAGCATCCCACATGGGTGCCAGTTCAAGTCCTACCTAGCTGCTCCACTTCCCCATCCAACTCCCTGCTGATGTGCCCGGGAAAGCAGCGAAAGATGGCGCAATAGCTTGGGCCCCTGCAGTTTTGTAGGAGACCTGGAAGAAGCTCCTGGCTCCTGGCTTTGGTTTGGCCTAGCCCTTTCCATTGCGGCCATTTGGGAAGTGAACCAGCAGATGGAAGACTTCTCTCTCTTTCTCTGCCTCTGCCTTTTCCTCTTTGTAACTCTGCCTTTCAAATAAGTAAATAAGTCTTTCCCAAAAAAGTTTTTAAAAATTTATTTAAACGGCAGAGTGACAAAAGGAGACAGAAGTGAGAGGAGAGAAGGATCTTCTGTCTGCTGGTTCACTCCCCTGCAGTATAATTGGGGCTGGGTCAGATGAGAGTCAGGAGCTAGGAACTCTCTGCAGGTCTCCTGCTTGGGTGGCAGGGACCCTGGTATGGGAGCCATTATCCACTGCCTCTCAGGGTGCACATTAGCAGGAATGTGGCTTTGAAGCCAGGGTGAGACTCCATGCTGGGTACTCTCATATGGAATGTGGGCATCCCAGGTCATGCCTCAACCTGTCCCAGTACTCTGATTTATGGCTTACATATGACTTGTGACTCTCACTTGCACTTGAGGTATCTGTATCTGTTAAATTCTCTTACTTCAAGAAGAGTATGGAATGTGAATGTCCCAAAGGTCTGATTCTTAATGGTTTCATAAGTCCTGCCTGCCCATACCTCTCTCTATCCTACATCTGCCCCCTCTCCATTTTCTGCAATACTTCTCCACGTTTATGGTTTTCTGTAGACTCTTCACATTGTGCCATTTACAGCTCTTAGCGCAAAGAGGTAGCAGGTGCAGTTTATTATTAAGTGCATGGTTGACAACTCCTAGTCTTTTTATGTGTTCTGAAAGAAAAGTATTGTACTGTTCATTCTTACAAAGTTGTGATATAGTAAAAATGAGCTCAGAGAATTAAAATCTGTCCAGAGCGAAAGAATTCCAGGGCTTAAACCATCTTTTGTATTGTCTCTTTTAAGGTTATATGTGTCTTTAGTTTGTTAGGAAACAGAGTTCAAATATAGTACCTGTCTTTGTTCTTTACTTCGTTGAAGGAAGAATTTTTAAGTTAGCAGTAGGTAACCTGCACTAATTTCAGATTATCTGTTAGTCAAGTATGTGCTTGTAGATAAATCCCCATTCCAAACCAAAATGCAGTATTTGTGATTTTCAACCTCATTCTCTGAAGGAGACTGACCATGTGACTTTGGACTGTTGCCGTGTGCTCAGAATACTATTAAACTTATTTAAACCTAGGTCTACCTTGTTTTTTTTTTTTTTTTTTTTTAAGGATTTAGTTTGGCGAGAACTCATTGCGATGAACACTGTTACCTGTGCCTATTAAATACTGAGCCAGATGTTGGAAACCTTGGGAATTTTTCTTTAAAGGCAAGGAGACAGGGTTTTTACCCATTAGCCATCTAGAAGATCTGTAAGAGCAAAAAGCAAATGGATGAGAACATTCCACATAGCAAGGGAATGGAAAACTAGATGGCCACTGGCAGAAAACCCTTTTGTAGTTGTGTGAAACAACAGAAATACATAGTAATTTAAATAAAAGTCAATTCATTAATTTCTGTAGAAAGATGTTAGAGGTGGCAGTAAAGCCCACCAGTGTCAAAATACTGTATTAAATAGTGAAATCTCTAAGGGACTCACTTTGAGGCCTATAGGAAAGTTCTTTTTAAGTCAAATTATCAATCTAGGCCCTTGAATGGCTGGCTCTGGAGTCAGCGTCTCGGGCGCGATTCCATATATGTACGCCCATTATTGTGACCCCTCAAACACGTTTCTCCACATTCCCCATCTTTAAGAGCAATGGCAGTGTACCTTTTGCCAGGTATCTTTCCCCAAAACAACCAGAAAGCCACAATTTAAGCACTGGTTTAATGTTTAAAGAAATGTGGCTTGGCTCACACAAAATGTTTATGAACTACTAGTTTGCCATGTATAATTTAGCACCTGGGAAATTTTCTTTCTCAGTAATAAAAGCTTAATATGCATATGTGTATGTGTGTGGGGTGAGGGCAAGGTAGGGGTGGGGCACCTGTATCTGTCTGGCGTCCTCAGTAACTAGAACCAAATTCAAAGCTTTGAGGCAAAACGTAGAACATTTCATCGTAGGCACGTTATCTATTATTCATCCTAGCCCTTTTTGTTACAGATTAGTCAGTATGTTTTTGGTCACAATAACAGAAAGCAGCAAGTAGTGTAAGCTACAGGTTCATTTATTTGCTGATATAAATGGAGGGACAAGTGTAGCAGTAGGATAGTTTTCAGGGTTGGTTTATCCCATCATTAAACATTGTCACCAGTGATCTGGCTACCTTCTGATATATCTTACGGCTTGGTCATCGACAGGTTCTTCAGATACCTTTGATTTGTTTTCAAAACTCTGTGTTTTTTTTTGGGTGTGGGGGGGCATTCCTTCTTAGGCCTGTTTGTTGCTGTCGCCATAGTCTACCATCTCCTGCTGACCTGCCTTACTGTTTGCTCTTTGCCCGTTTCTCCCCATTCTCAGGGAGAAAAGAATTATCTGTGAGATGGAATAAAGAACAGTTATATGGCCAGTATTTTTACATAAGTTCCCATTGTTTTGTTAAAAATATCTTTTCCTTTATTTTTCTTTTTTAAGATTTACTTATTTATTTGAAAGGCAGAGTTAGAGAAAGAGGGGGCGGGGGGAGACTTCTATCCACTGGTTTACTCCCCAAATGGCTGTAATGGCCGGAGCTGGGCCAATCCAAAGTCAGGAGCTGGAAGCTTCTTCTGGGTCTCTCGGGGGTTCAGGGGCCCAAGCACCGGGGCCATCTTCTATTGCTTTCCCAGCTCATAGCAGAGTGCTGTATCAGAAGTGGAGAGCAGGGACTGGAACCATCACCCATATGGGATGCTGGCACTGCAGGCAGTGGCTTTACTTGCTATACACAGTACCGGCCCCTTCCATTTGTTTTAAGAAGTACTGTGGAATTTGACAAAAATAACAATGACCAACAAGAAGATGGTGTAATGGAGTCTGAAAATGAGTCTCATACGATTGCAAGGTCCTTATGCCTGAAGTGTCATTCTATATTCTAGCCATGACAGTTTCCAAGTTTCTATCTTTATAGGAGCATTTCTTCTCTCTGGGTCTTAATTTCCTGTTACATGAATGAGAATTAAAAACTTTTGCAAAAATGCCAGCAATAATGCCATAGAGAGTATATATGAAGATTTTGTAGCATATAGCTGGCCATGGCTGCTTCACAGATTCTAACACTAAGCCATTTTCTTTTGGTTCCATCACTTTGAGCCTGAAACCTTTGAAACTAAACCGTTGAATTCCATGGAGAAATCCAAACCAGTTATCTTATTATACCTACCATTAAATTCAAAGCCAGGCATTCATTAAAACTCAGAAAAAAGTTAACGAACAAGCAGTTCGTTGTTGTTGACTTTTCTCCTGGGTTCTGAGTTGTGTTTATCTGCTGTTTGTGGTTTATGTGGTATTTCCTATCTATTTCACTTTTCAGATTAAAAGTAGTGTGGGAAAAACAACCCAGAAAAGAATTAATGTATACATTATTTTTGTAATGCAAACTGGAGCTTAGAAATTGAAATTATACTCATGATTTATTATGCTGGTTTCCGTTTCGATAACCTTGTGGTCATCTCTCTGTTTTACCTGTCTAAGGATTCAGTTGTTATTCCCTTGTCAAAAATCAAAAACAGCAGTATCAGTGGCATGAAGGTTGATGCTACTGCAGTCATTTCAGGCTCTAAGTCCATAGCATTTGTTGAGAGCTGCCCATTCGTGATGAAGAACTTGCAAACCTTCCATTTTATAGTGTATCTCTTTTTTCCTCCTATTCCTTACTTCTAATCCTTGGCTTTGGCTGTCTTAGTAATTTTCAAATTTCTATTTAGTGGCCAAGCCGTTGCTTCTAAGGAAAGCTTTTTGAAGGGTCTCCTGCAGAAAACAGATGAATCTGAATTCCCCAATTTTTAAGGATGGATTTCAGATGGGAGTAGGGATTATTCAAGAGTGGATAAGTCTCCACAGAGCTCAGCTTGGAAAACCACTGATGTCTCAGTGCAGTTTGGTGTTTTCTAAGTACCCACTGCTGGTGTTCAAGTGCTGGGCTCACACAGTAGGCACAGTTTGACCTCATTTTCTTTATTAAGGGCTATGCTAAGAGTTGCTCCATTTTTGCTAGCAGTCTGCTATTAGTGGTAAAAAGCATTTCCCTCTCAAGCTTTGTGCCATTTTCCTTCCAGATTGGTGAGTTCTCCCTGGGAAATCCTGGCACTGATAGACTTGAGACTTAAAACAGAAACAACAGGACTGGAGAACTCAGGACAGTGCAGGCTTTTGCGGGGGGATGCTTTTCCCTTTTTCGAATGCAGTTTCTTAAGAATGGTCTTAAGTTCCTCTGTTCTGTAACCAACAGGAGGACTCACAAATGGCAGTGGAAGATACATCTCTGCTGCCCCCGGCGCTGAAGCCAAGTACCGCAGCGCAAGCAGCGCTTCCAGCCTCTTCAGCCCCAGCAGCACCCTCTTTTCATCCTCCCGGTTGCGGTATGGGATGTCTGACGTCATGCCCTCTGGTAGGAGCAGGCTTTTGGAAGATTTTCGAAATAACCGCTACCCCAATTTACAACTGCGGGAGATTGCTGGACATATAATGGAATTTTCCCAAGACCAGCATGGGTCCAGGTGAGGACTTGGCTTTGGCAGTGGAGGTAACTGAAATTTTAACTCCTTAAATTCTGTCCCTCAGACAGGTTAATGTCTGAATAATTCACCATAATATAGTTCAATCAAAGCGTGCCTCTTAATATGCTTCTCATTAATTATTTCAGAGGGTCACTAGACAAACAGGTGTTGGCAAAAGGGCCTTTCATAGCCAAGAACACATGTTTTAAAACACAAACATTTGGACTTTCTGGATGAGTAGCCTGGTGTTTCCAATTCAGAAGAATCCCATAAAAATCTACATGTTAAAAAAAGAGACTCACATAAAGACCTGCACAAACTTTTGCTGCACTGAGCATTATAAAGAATCCTTTGCTCTCAAAGGAGTATGGTTCAGCTACACATTGGGTATGTTGGCTGCTTAGGAGTCAGACCGTTTTCCCACTTGCTCCATGCTGTGGAAGTGAGAAACCTCAGAGTTGAGAGAAGAGGCTGTTCCAGGGGCTGGATTTGGCTTTGGTCTCCCCTTCGGCTGCTACAGTGGGCCTCACAGAAAGGGAGCCTGATTCTAGGGAAGCAGCATCACCTACCCTTCGTCCCCAGGGCTCTTTGTTTCCATTTTGGTTTCCTTGTCAGACCACATCCAGGTGTCAGACCCTGCCTCGTTTGTCAGTGCTGCCAGCATGCTGCTGAGCAAGGGTTTCTCATGTTTGGATTCCTGCAGGCCAGATTCAGACAGGGTGATTTCTTCATGTAGTTGCCTGCACTACGTAATGCAGACCGAGTAGCTGCTGCTTCTGAAGATGAGTCAGAGCACATAGTAAGGACCGTAGCTTTGAGTTCAGCAACGTGGAACTGGCTTCCAAAGTTCTTTCTCTGACACCTCTCCCCACCTTTATGTCTTCCCTGTCTCCCCACACTTAAATCAAACTTGGTCTGTATGTCCTTCATAAGGAAATACACAATATAAAATACATATTCTATAGCTCACTAAGTGGGTGGGCATTTGGTATAGTGGCTAAGTTGCCATTTGGGAGGCCCACATCCCGTATTCGAGTGCCTAGTTCAAGTCATGGCTCTTTTGCTTCTGATCCAGCTTCCTGCTAATGTATCCTGGGAGGCAGTCCTAGTGCTTGGGTCCCTGCCACCCATGTGGGAGATAAGGGTGTAAGTTCCTGGCTCCTAGTTCCTAGCTTTGGCCTGGCCCAGTCCCAATTGTTGTGGGCATTTAGATAACGAACCAGCAGGTAGAAGATTTCTTTCTGTATGCCTCTCTGTCTTTTAACTAAAATAAAAAATGAAAATAAATAAATGAATGCCCAAATCAAATGTTAAAAAAGTGAAAGTTTCATGAACCTAGGAGATACTTCGTCTTTCCAGAAATTCTTCCTTTAGAGGAGCTCACGCAGTAGTAGCACTCAGTTTACTGTGTGCCTGAGTGAATGCATATGCACCCTCGTACCTGCAGTTGCAGAACTGACACTTCGTAGAAAGCGACTTACCCCTCTCTTTCCCAAGTTCTGTTTCTGCTCTGAGATCACCTGTTTTACTTTGTACTTTAGGTTCATTCAGCTGAAGCTAGAACGTGCCACCACAGCAGAGCGCCAGCTTGTTTTCAATGAAATCCTCCAGGCTGCGTACCAACTGATGGTGGATGTGTTTGGGAATTATGTCATTCAGAAGTTCTTTGAAGTAAGCCTTTGTTCTTTTTCCCCTTTGGCTTTATAACTCTGCAGGATATTTTGATTAAGAATAGCCATCTTCCCTCCCTCTTTCTCTCTCTCCCCTCTCTTTCCCCTCCCTCCCTCTGTGTCTCTAACTCTACTTTTCAAATAAATAAATCTTTAAAAAAAATGGCCATCCCATTCCAGTCCTTTCTGAAGAGCTTTTTAAATGCTTGCAGTTCTTCAACAGCATCTGTCTGTTGTTTGTGGTGCAGCTACCCAAGCAGGTGATCCCAATCTGTGTTGGGAGTGTTTTGAGAAGTTTTGTCCCCATTTAGGACCCAGCCTATTACTTCTGATTGTTAACAGTAGTTTCATTAAACCTGCCACTTTGGGAAGAAATAATCCATGTAAGGTAATTTTAGTGTGAAAAATGAGATGGGGAGAAGATTCATAGAGAATTGTACATGAACACCAACCCCAGTATTTTTCATCATAAACTGAGGTTATCCTTAGGCCTTGATTACTTATTTTACCTCTGTTAATTTCAATAATGCCTACTCTTATCATTATCTTTGGAAAATATTCATGAAAGTATTTGATTTATGTCTTTCCTCTAATAAAGTTTCAGAGAGGCAAAGATATTTTACTTCTCATTGATGACAGCTACAAGATCCATGAGGTCAAAGCGTTCGTTGGAAAATACATATTATGAAAAAACTATATGGATTTCAGACAAACTTTTTTCCATTTTCTAAGCAACTTTTTAAAGTATATCTTTAAATCCAGAATAAGACAAAACATTTAGATGAGAAATCTGGTGTGGGGGAAGAAATCCTGCATTTCTACACATTACTTTCCATCAAAAATTCTGTTTGATTGGTGTGAAGATAAAGTGGTGTACTTGAAGATAAAGTGGTGTACTTGGGGCTGGCGTTATGGCATGCTGGGTAAAGCTGCCGCCTGTGACGCCAGCATCCCATATAGACATCAGTTCCTGTCTTGGCTGCCCCACTTCCCATTCAGACCCTGGGAAGAGCAGAGGATAGCTCAAGCATTTGGGTCCTTGACACTCACGAGGGAGACCCAGATGAAGCTCCTGACTCCTGGCTGCAGTCTGGCCCAGCCCTTCCTGTTGCAGCTGTCTGGGAGTGAACCAGCAAACGGAAGATCTTTCTCTGACTCTTCCTCTCTCTCTGTAACTCTGACTTTCAAATAAATAAATAATTGTTAAAAAAATTTTAAAGTGGCTTACCTACAGCTTTTATCTTTCTAGCTTTTCTCAGGAAGACTTGTGTTCTTTGAATTCTCCAGCTATGGACAAAGAAACCAAACTAAGTATAACCCTTCTGTTTTTGATTCTTGACAAACACACAAGCGTTTGTCACCAATATGACAGTGCAGTGATCAGCTCCAGAGGCTGGTGCAGCGTCCAGGGGCCAGAATGTGCAGTGGATTACAGCTTGTGGTGTGGGGCAAGCTAGAGAAGGTCTCTGTATCTTAGTGCCCTTGAATGGAAAAGGAGGGAGTTCGACATCACAGAATTTCCTACAGACTCGGGATTCTACTTTTCAAATGAAAATTCAAACAAGGATGTTTGAATAGAATTTTAGCCATATCTCTTCATTCTACTAATTCTCCTCCTCTCCACTCAGTTGCCTGTGTAAATAGACAGTATCGGTTCTTGGAATAAGGTAGAACACCAATTCAAAACACAGTATCCATGTGTGCTTTGGCTTAAGCTGCACAGAGATGAAAGAACTTTTTAACCTGTGGGCCTCAGAGATCTGAGGGGCTGGAGATTTCAAGATGTTCTTGTATATTCCTCAAACATTGTTGAAAGCCTTAAAAAATTCAGTGTCTTCCACACATACTACTCATTTCTGAGTGCTCTCATAATCAGTGGAGTAGGGACTCATTTAATAGTAGTAGTGAATTAGTGGCAGCTTTGAGGAATTACTTATTTCCTTAAATACTAGTAGTGAAACGACTGCTGTTGGGTAGCTAAAAAATTTTAACATTCTAAAGAGTTTTTTTTAATCAAACGGAGAACTGCTGGAAGAAACAAAGATTCTTTAAATGAAAGATCTAAAATATTGGTGTGTAACAGGGTTACACGAGGTCCTGCCAGTGGTTGATGAAGAATAGCGAATGCTTCGCTTCCTCTGGCTTCTTTCTTTCTGAGTAACGGTGCTCACTCACACATTATGTCTAGTTTGGCAGCCATGAACAGAAGCTGGCTTTGGCAGAACGCATCCGAGGCCACGTCCTGTCCTTGGCACTACAGATGTACGGCTGCCGAGTTATCCAGAAAGCTCTTGAATTTATTCCCGCAGACCAGCAGGTAATTGTAAGTTTCCCCTTTAACTTTTCTCTTGGTGTTTAATGTTTCTCCATGGTATATGTAGTGAACTTGGTAATGCTGCCAACCTACAGTTTTCCTTTGATGCTTATGGCTGTCTTTCTGTGCATGGCCAGCATGAATTATACGATTAATTTTGTAAATTTATAGTAGATCAGTTGTCTTGTGTTAAAACCAGTGGTTCGCAGCGCTCTTACCTTGACCAGAACTTATGTGCAATTTTACAGATGTGTTTTTTGTTTGCAAAGAATTGAAGCAGGTAAAATGCTAGTAAGTTGTCATTTTCTTCATTTGAATGGAACATTCCAATGAGCCAAATTTGTCCAGCAAATCTTTCACTTCAGTTCACTCCCTCGCTCTTCATTCATTCCACCCGCATTGACTTAAGAGTGCTTGCCCAATGCATTGTATGGCCTGGCACACTGTCCCACAGCCCGCTCATGGCAGACATGAGGGCCTGGGATGATTAAGATCTGATCCCTGCCTGCAGTGCACGGTCTGGTGGGAAACAGCTGTGGGAAGCGTCGTGGGCGCGCAAGGGAGACCCTCACCCTGCCCACCGTCTCCCCCGGGCAGGCCGTGCAGGAGAAGCCAGAGCTAAGAGGAGTTAGACCGGACAAAGGGGACAGAACCCTGAAAGCTTTGTGTTGTGAGTGGGGAGCTCATGCGGAGATCGCCTGAAGAGACCCTCGGCTTCAGGATTAGCCCTGGGGCAGGTCCAACCCGCACTGCCCAGACCATGGGGCACGGGCAGGGAAGCAAACCCACAGGGAGGATGTACTGCAGCTGTGTTGGTGCTGGCCAGTGCCAGCAGCCTCTGGGAGCTTCCCATCTGAGCCCTCAGCCCCTGGGCTCTGAGCTCACTCAGCCCTTCTCAGTTCAGGGGTTGGCCATTGTCTGGCAATGATGACCCACTTGCCCTCACTGAGAACAAAGTTCGGTAATGAGAATCTTTGTTATGGACTCAAGTTCTGAGCCAGACAGGACGCCCACCCACCTCTGATCCCAAACCCTACCACCCGACTGGTGGTGGCGATGGCAGTTGAAGGCTGAGTGAGTTTAAAGTCCTGTGGGGTGTGAGTTCCTAGGTGGCGTGTCAAGATGCTGCTGTGAGGGCAGAGGGCAGGCGGGTTGGGGACACTTGCAGATTTGCATTTTGTTCACTCAGTGCTCATTCCTAGAGATGCAGTGCTCATATGAAAGTGCTGTTTGTAAGTAATTACAAGCAGGTGTTAAGCTGTTTTTAGTTGTTTTCTAATGTTTAGTTTATTACTGATTTTAATGTTTTCCTGGTTTTTCATTGATGGTTGAAAACTTTTCTGTTTAATTTTCCTTTTTCTTTTGCACCTGCAAATTTCTTCCTGTCTTTTGGCTGTAATGCCCACTTGCTGGAAGAGAAGCAGAAGGATGACAGTTTCTTTTATATGTTTTCCTCTTTGCCTTCACCCACGAATGTGGGAAATTCTTTATTTTGTCTTCACTTTTTCAAATTGTACAGTGTTCTGGCTGAATGTCATGGGTTTTTTGTTTGTTTGTTTTAAAAGAAAACCTCCCCTTCCTTTCCCTCAACCTATTGTTCTTCCCTGGTCATGTTTCTCTGTGGTGACTTATTCTAGATCTGAACTACTTTTCTTGCTATGAATAATTTACTCATTTTTCAGTAGACATTTAAGTGACATTAGCTCCTCTCCTGTGGAATTGTAAATGTCTTTTGGATCAAGAAAATATTCAGGATACCACCTCATCTTTAGTTAAGAAACTGTCCCTTAGTTTTATAAGTGTATAAATATCATTCTCTATTTGTTTTTTTATTTTTATTTTTATTTTTTATTTATTTATTTATTTATTTTTTTTTTTGACAGGCAGAGTGGACAGTGAGAGAGAGAGACAGAGAGAAAGGTCTTCCTTTGCCGTTGGTTCACCCTCCAGTGGCCGCCGCGGCCGGTGCGCTGCGACCGGTGCACCGCGCTGATCCGAAGGCAGGAGCCAGGTGCTTTTCCTGGTCTCCCATGGGGTGCAGGGCCCAAGCACCTGGGCCATCCTCCACTGCACTCCCTGGCCACAGCAGAGAGCTGGCCTGGAAGAGGGGCAACCGGGACAGAATCCGGCGCCCCAACCGGGACTAGAACCCGGTGTGCCGGCGCCGCTAGGCGGAGGATTAGCCTAGTGAGCCGCGGCGCCGGCCTCTCTATTTGTTATTCTGTAATTATGTTTACAGAGTAAATTATTTCCTCCTGAAATTTCAGTAATTCCTTTTGGAAACTTTCCCTGAATATCTGGCCGTTTCCCTCTTTAGTCCTTGGCACTTTATTCTTTTTTTTTTTCCCCCTAGCTGATATGTTAGTTGATTTGATGTAGTCAACATCTCAGGGATTTAAAACTTTGCATTTATTAATGACAGTATTTTAGCTTGTCAGTTTTTAAAGTTATTGATTGATTTGAGGGAGTGCTGCCATCTGTTGATTCACTCCCCAGGTTCCTCAGTGACCAAAGCTGTCCTGGGGCAGACACTTAAAACCAAGAATATAATCCAGGTCTCCCATGTGGGTGGCAGGAGTCCAGTTCCTTAAGGCATTATCTGCTGCCTCCCAGGGTGGAGTCAGGGAGCTAGAACTGTGGGTCAAACTTGGGCATTTTTTTTTTTTTAAGATTTATTTATTTATTTGAAAGGCAGAGTTACAGAGAGGCAGAGAGAGAGAGAGAGAGAGAGATATCTTCTAACCACTGGTTCACTCCCCAAATGGCTGCAATGGCTGGAGTTGCACCACTCTGAAGGAGCCAGGAGCTTTTTCTGGGTCTCCCACATGGGTGCAGGGGCCCAAGGACTTGGGCCATATTCCACTGCTTTCCCAGGCCATAGCAGAGAGCTGGATCGCAAGAGGAGCAGCCAGGACTCCAGTGGGTGCCCATATGGGATGCCGGCACTGTAGACGGTGGCTTTACCTGCTATGCCACAGCGCCGGCCCCCAACTCTGGCATTCTGATGTGGAATGTAGGCATCATAACCACTAGGCTTGACAGTCTCTCCTAATAGCATTTATTAAAGTGGCTCATAATCTTCTAACATAATCGTTAGTGTAGTAGAGGTAATATGCAGAGATTAGGGACAGCAAGGAAATGGGGCAGCAGGTGTCAGGGCACAGCCATAGTATAGGGCTTCAGCCTCCAGGTACCTGAGACCACAGGTCGTGAACTTTGGAGATGGATTCTGACTCAGTCTCTCCCTAATAAACCTTTGCCACATTCACCCATTCCCTACACAGACACACACTCACTCTCATATACTTAAGGTCTGGCTGCTCTCTGTACTTGCTGAGTTTGGAAGCTTTTCATTGATTAACTGAAAGACCCATTCCTGTGAACTTTGCACCCACTATAGCTTGGTAGAAAGTTTATAGATGGTGGAGTCACAGCCTGGACTAGAATTCTGATTATTTTACTTTCTACCTGTAGTTTCAAATATATGGCTTAACTCCTTTCAGCCTTATTTCTTCCATAGATACAGGGACAAGGGTGCAGGATAATTTAAAAAAAAATTTTTTTTTTTTTTTTGACAGGCAGAGTGGACAGTGAGAGAGAGACAGAGAGAAAAGTCTTCCTTTTGCCGTTGGTTCACCCTCCAATGGCCGCCGCGGCCGGCGCACTGCGCTGATCTGATGGCAGGAGCCAGGAGCCAGGTGCTTTTCCTGGTCTCCCATGGGGTGCAGGGCCCAAGCACCTGGGCCATCCTCCACTGCACTCCCGGGCCACAGCAGAGAGCTGGCCTGGAAGAGGGGCAACCGGGACAGAATCCGGCGCCCCGACCGGGACTAGAACCCGGTGTGCCGGCGCCGCTAGGCGGAGGATTAGCCTAGTGAGCCGCGGTGCCGGCCTAGGATAATTTAAATTTTTGACCATTGCTTTACTGACACATACTGGTTTACTACACAGTATAGCCAGATTGTTTGGATTTGATCATGGCATTCTTGGTTTGTAATTTGAGGCAAGTCTTCTCATTTGTGCCTTGATTTCCTCATCTGTAATGGTGTCCAATGCATAGGGTTGTTTGGATGAGTTAAGATGTGTTAAACATTTAGAGGTATGCCAAATCTGGATTAAAATTTAACCACCATCATGATTAATAGTACCTGTCTTGCAGGGTAGTGTTATAAACTATGATGAAGAGTACATGAAATTCTATGTAGTTTGATTTATATATATGTATAATAAAAACTCTAAGAGATCTTTTGGGTACTGGTTACTATTATACTCAATTTGTTTCAGTAAATTTCATTACATAGTTGATTTCCTAATACATGAAAGAACTCAGCCCCTCGTTTGTTGCCATGGTGTCCTAGTGCCACACTTCAGGTCTGCATTCATTGTCACAGATTCTGAGCTCAGTGCTTTTATGTTTGGAAAGGACAGCGTTGGTCGTCCAGGTGTTTGCTTGCTGCGATTCTGGTGATGCTTTCTTTCCCTATCTCCAATAGAATGAAATGGTTCGGGAACTGGATGGCCACGTCCTGAAGTGTGTCAAAGACCAGAATGGCAACCACGTGGTTCAGAAATGCATTGAATGCGTGCAGCCCCAGTCCTTACAGTTTATCATCGATGCTTTTAAGGGACAGGTAAGTGACTTAGGAAAGAAATATGGGAAACAGATTGATGGGTGTTTCCATTGTGAGCAGAAAGGAGGATGGGGTTTGTGGCATGTCCTCAACATGCAGTATGTGTCTGAGATTAGAGAGAGCAGTCCTGGCTCTCTATTTCCAAGTCTCTTCCTTAACCTTCATTGAGAGAGCCTTCTCTCCTTTAGTAATGCAGATGACTCACGGGGTTGGGGGTGGAGGTGTGGGGGGTGCTCATGTGGGATGAAATACTGTTAGCAGAGTTGTTGAGATGAAATATCATATTTGAAGAATACATTTTCCTCCTTGTTTAAGTATTATTTATCCTGGTATTTGCATTTTTTTCTCTAAAGGCTAAAAACAAGTTTTTAAAGATTTATTTATTTATTTGAAAGGCAAAGTGACAGAGATCTTACATCTGCTGGTTCGCTCCTTAAATTCCTGCAGCAGCCAGGATTAGGCCAGGCTGAAGTCAGAGGCCAGGAAGTCCATCTGGGTCTCCGTTGTGGGTGGCAGGGACCCATGTACTTGGAGCCACCATCTGCTGTTTCCCAAGATGCATGTTAGCAGGAAGCTAGGTCTGAAGGGTGGAGTAGCCGGATCTCAAACTGACATTATGATTCCATATGCAGGCATCCCAAGTGGTGCCTTGATCCCCTGTGCCACAAAGCCTACACCTTATCTTGGTATTTGATAGTCTTTATTACTTCTTAAAATTAAGGTCATTTTCAGAACTGATCTTGCAGGTCTTATGTGAATGTATCTTTAAAATAACAAAGTACTAATCCTCTGCCTGCGGTGCCGGCGCCCCAGGTTCTAGTCCCGGTCGGGGTGCTAGATTCTGTCCCAGTTGCTGCTCTTCCAGTCCAGCTCTCTGCTGTGGCCCGGGAGTGCAGTGGAGGATGGCCCAAGTGCTTGGGCCCTGCACCCGCATGTGGATGGCATTTCTGTAAATCAATTATGTAAATTCTATGCAATTCTGTAAATCAAAATTCAAGCACAACCATGCAGTATGTTTTTATGTGTGCATGTGTATTTTTTTTAATTTGTAAGTTACATAAGTTTCATGTATAGTATTTTTTTTAAGGATGCGAGAGGTATTTTAAAAGTTTGTGGAAAGGCTGGCGCCTCAGCTCAATAGGCTAATCCTCTGCCTGCGATGCCAGCACACCAGGTTCTAGTCCCAGTCGGGGCGCTGGATTCTGTCCCAGTTGCTCCTCTTCCAGTCCAGCTCTCTGTTGTGGCCTGGGAGTGCAGTGGAGGATCGCCCAAGTGCTTGGGCCCTGCACCCGCATGGGAGACCAGGAGAAGCAGCTGGTTCCTGGCTTCAGATCAGCGCGGTGTGCTGGCCGCAGCACGCCGGCCACAGTGGCCATTGAGGGGTGAACCAACGGCAAAGGAAGACCTTTCTCTCTGTCTCTCTCTCTCACTGTCCACTCTGCCTGTCAAAAAAAAAAAAAAAAAAAAAGAAAGAAAGAAAGAAAAGTTTGTGGATGGCCAGCACCGCGGCTCACTAGGCTAATCCTCTACCTGCGGCGCCGGCACCCCGGGTTCTAATCCAGGTTGGGAGCACCGGTTCTGTCCCGGTTGCTCCTCTTCCAGTCCAGCTGTCTGCTGTGGCCTGGGATAGCGGTGGAGGATGGCCCAAGTGCTTGGGTGCCTGCACCCGCATGGGAGACCAGGAGGAAGCACCTGGCTCCTGGCTTGGGATCTGTGTAGTTCCAGCCATAGCGGCCATTTGGGAGGTGAACCAACGGAAGGAAGACCTCTCTCTCTCTCTGTCTAACTCTGTCAAATAAAAAAAAAAATACAGCTAAAATTAGAGAAGTGATCATATAATTAATGCTGAACTTTAGGCATAAATGAACATGTGCTATAGGTAAAATAATGAGGCTAAAATAAATATTTTTATGTTTTTAGTGTTTTTCCAAAAAACCTATTTTGATCTTATCGCCGCTAGTAGCATTACTAGGGTTATACAAATAATTGCATTATAAAAATGTGACATAAACTTAGCCGAAACATTGATTTTTATAACTCACATTAAGAGTTGAAATTTCTTATGTGTCTTTTGATAAAGTGCAGTATTGTTTGTGTGCTCTCTTTGTTTATTGCTACAATTTAAGAACTTTATTTAAAAGCAATTCGGGAAGGTTGCTAAGAATAGTAACTATTCAGCTGTAGCCAGATGGTTAACAAGTAAGCCACTTGACTTAGAATTCTTGTGCATTGTGCATTTTGGGAAATCTAAAGTACTGTATTTTCATTGATTATAAATCTTCCTTTGCAGTTATTTTTATTCTTCCTTTGTAATCCCTTGAGAGATTACACTGTTGATTGTTTAAATGTGTTTTAAAAGACTCATTATGAACTGTATCCAAATCTTAAAAAGTCAAGACTTTTCTGAACCACTCCAGTCTTCCTCCATCCAATTGAATGTTATAAATATGAAAGACATTGGAAAGATATAGTGTACATCATAAAATATCCTTAGGTATAATACATGATTTATCTTATTAATTTATAAAATATATTCCAATAAACATAATACTGATAATCAGTGAGTTTTCTACCGAAAGTAAACTCATAGGGAGATCATAGGGAGATCTGCTTTTATATTAAGCAGATAAAAAACATGTGAAAAACCATGATAGAGCATCTTTGCTTAGGCGTTGGTAAAGAAGCACTGAAGTTGGGTTTAGTATTGTCTGCATTTTAGTAGTAGAACAAAGCTGCCTTTATAGGATGTATATACTTAAGTCTTGAGATTATTTCTTCCACACTAGCTTAATATGGACAGTTTTTTCTGGAAACTGCAAAAACAGTAAACAAAAGTAATTTTTCATCTTAGAAAACATAAACATACTATCTGGCTTACTGAAAGCAGTAAAATATCACTTACATGTTGTAGAGCATACTGGTATATGTTTTAGCATAGAAGATTATGTATTAAGTTAAATAATTATATTCTGCTATTTGGTGGCAAATAATTCCAATTATGAACCACAATTATTTCAAAAGTGAAAGTGATAGCTAGAAATAAACCTTAGCTTTGGTTATTTTATGTGTGTGATCCAGAAGTAGCCATAAGTTTAAAGACAATAAAATCTGAAACAGACTAGGTAAACTTGTATATCTTGTGACAAATCGTACTTGCATGTTAATAAAGACTATTGACTGGAAAAAAAAGAGCTTGTGGTTAGATGGAATTAAATGATCATTTAGGGGTGGATATTTGTCCCAGCAGTTAAGAAGCTGTTGGAAAGCGTGTCCTGTATCAGAACACCTGGAGTTAATTCCCAGCTCTGGTTTCCTGCTGGTGCACATGCTGGGAAGCAGCACTTGGATTGTGTTCCTGCCTCCTGGCTTAGGTCCTAGCTGCTGCGAGCATTTGGGGAGTGAATTGGAGGAAGGAGCATGTGCTCTCTCTTTCTCTGTCTTTGCCTGTTACATAAATAAAAGTTGAAAGCATGGATTTTCTGTTAATGTTTTGAAGTCCCATGGCACAGTTGCAGATATAAAAACATACATAGAGCACTTAGCATAGTGACTGACACTTGGGAAGCTATTGTTCCAGCTCTTGTAATCAGTAATATTCTTGACTACAGAGCTGAGGTACACATCACTCACATAGGAAGGTATAGAATCAAGGTTGGGTGGTCTGGATCTAAAGCCCTGAGCTTTTCTGTTGCTCCAAACCCAACACAGGATGTTGAGGCTTTTCTTCTGCTGAACAACACCCCAGTTAAATTCATAGCGTTGTGTGTGGTTGGGTGGTTATGTGAAAACACTGAGGATTTGATCCCAGCCCTTCCTTTTTCTGTTTGTAACTCTAGCCTTTGGAGAGCTGTCAGTTGACACTGCTAACTCAGCTAAGTGGGTTTTTCATAACCTTGACCAATTCTGTTTCCTTCTAAACCTCTTGAAAAAGTAGTTTTTAGCTCTGAATTTATCCATGTCTCTAAATTTCTAAACTAATGGGCTTGTTTATACATCACACACACACATCTCTTATTTGTAGAGAGAGTGTAAATGCCAGTAAATTCATTTGTGAAAATCCATGGGATAATGTTTCTAAACAGTACTGAAGCATTGAAAGTGGCAGCTACCATTTGTGGCCTTCTTCTGTCTCTTTGACCCAGGTGTTTGCTTTGTCTACGCATCCTTATGGCTGCCGAGTGATTCAGAGAATTCTGGAGCACTGTCTCCCTGACCAGACACTGCCTATCTTAGAGGAGCTGCACCAGCACACGGAGCAACTTGTCCAGGTAAGGGAATCGCAGGAGAGGAACTGCAGACTGGGCTCTGTGTGTTCTGTCAGCTCAGGGCTCTCTTCCAGGAGAGGTGGATATATTTGAAATGCCCATTGCATCTTCTGAATATGTTTTTATGCATAGCAAGCAGCCTGGTGTGTGTTTGCGTAGTATGAGTAATGAATAGATTCCTGGCCCTGACTTCAGAACTCCTTCATGGGCCAGCTGTATCACCTTTAGGTAGATCTACCATTTAACCCTTCAGGCCTCAGTTTCACATTGTCATGTGAACCAAGTGGATTAGTTAATGTCTTTCTGGCTTTGATACTTCCTTTGCCTCACCCACTGACTTGTGGGATATAAATGTGTACCATTACTCTGTTCTGGGTTGGTAAAGTGAACCATTTGTGTGAAGAACTCAACTAGGACATTTAGGCATAAATATATAGAGAAGTATTCCATTGTCTAGCAATATTGTGCACCCATTTTTTTATAGATAGGGAAAATTGTTACTGCTCATTTAAAAAATTTTTTTGTGTTCCTTATGTAATCAGCTAAGCCATCTTGATATACAACAAAGATAGGTGTTAATGAGCCATAAGGACTCGGATAACCTGTAGGACTGGTTTTTACATAAATTTTATTTCTGTTGCTTCTCAAAAGGATCAATATGGAAATTATGTAATCCAACATGTATTGGAGCATGGTCGTCCTGAGGATAAAAGCAAAATTGTAGCAGAAATCCGAGGCAATGTCCTTGTATTGAGTCAGCACAAATTTGCAAGGTAAGCGCTATGATTACATGGACTGTTTCCAGAGAGAGGATTAAGTATTATTTTAACTCTAAAACGAAAGAATGAATTGTCATTCTCTTTTTAAATGTTTCTTCTTTGCAAAGTATACGTAGCTTGAAAAGTCAGATAGTCCTACAAAGTACCAACCCCAAGAGTCCCTCAGTGGGCTTCTCATTCCCCCAGAGTTGGCCACATGAATGCCAGGGGATTGTGTTTCTACACTATTGCACTTTGGTAAACTGGGTATTTCATTAACTTATTTGGAATTATTAGGTGTTCTTTACTTGAGTTCTTCTTCATTGTCTGAAGGATAGGTTAACCTGTTTATTTCCTTGAATGGTAGAGTGAGAGAGATATCTCCCACTCACTGGTTCACTGCCCTAAAAGGCCTGCTACAGCTGGGGCTAGGCCTGGCTTCAAGGAGCCTGGAATTCCATCCAGCTCTTGCACCCAAGTACTTGAGCTGTCATTTACTATCCCCCAAGGTTGTGCATTAGCCTGGAATCTGGAACAGAGCTGGACCTCAAACCCAGGCACTGAATCATGGGATATGCCCATTGCTCACTCTAGAATCTCTTTCGCAGCTTCAGATTATCAAGATTAAGAATGAAGTGCATTAAATATTTCCAAGTCATGATAGGTGTCACAGGTAACTGAAAAGTAGCAGGGATTGGAGAAGAAATGGGTGGCTCTTCCATGGGGTTAGTGGTATAATCTCCTAGGTATATTCTGCTGCCCATATAGCATTTTCTGTTGTTAGAGTGGTGCCCTTAAAATTTTTTTTAGGATGAATTACAAGGCAAAATAGAAATCCTCGAACTCTGTGGTTTTTTTTTTTTGTTTGTTTTTGTTTTGTTTTAAAGATTTGCTATTTATTTGAGAGGAAAAAAAGAGAGAAAGATCTTCCAACTGCTGGTTTGCTCCTCAAATGATTGCAACAGCCAGGATTGGACAAATGGTTGTAATAGCCAGGAGCTACGAACTCCATATGGAATGCCTGCCTAAGTGGCAGGAGCCCAAGTATAAATAATTTTTTTTTTTTTTAAAGATTTATCTATTTGAAAGTCAGAGTTAGAGAGGCTTTCCATCGCTGGTTCACTCCCCAGTTGGCCACAAGGGCCGGAGCTGTGCTGATCCAAAACCAGGAGCCAGGAGCTTCTTCTAGGTCTCCATTGCAGGTGCAGGGGCCCAAGGACTTGAGCCATCTTCTTCTGCTTTCCCAGGCCATAGCAGAACTGGATCGGAAGTGAAGCAGCCGGGACTTGAACTGGCGCCCACTGCAAGTGGCAGCTTTACCCGCTATGCCATAGTGCTGGCCCCTATTTGTGGCATTTTTATAACAGTGCATCATGGAAAATAGAGAAAAGAAATAAGGCACCTAAGTACAGGGATTTGGTACATAAGGAAGAGTGTTTACCTGAGCCATCTATACGTATGGTAGATTGCCCTAGAAAGTAGTCACCGGAAATTTCCAGGCAGTGGTTAAATGGCCGTCTTTTTTTTTTTTTTTTTTTTTGACAGGCAGAGTGGACAGTGAGAGAGAGAGACAGAGAGAAAGGTCTTCCTTTGCCGTTGGTTTTGGTTCACCCTCCAATGGCCGCCGCGGCCAGCGCGCTGCGGCCGGCGCACCGCGCTGATCCGATGGCAGGAGCCAGGAGCCAGGAGCCAGGTGCTTTTCCTGGTCTCCCATGGGGTGCAGGGCCCAAGCACCTGGGCCATCCTCTACTGCACTCCCTGGCCACAGCAGAGGGCTGGCCTGGAAGAGGGGCAACCGGGACAGAATCCGGCGCCCCGACCGGGACTAGAACCCGGTGTGCCGGCGCCGCTAGGCGGAGGATTAGCCTAGTGAGCCGCGGCGCCGGCCTAAATGGCCGTCTTTCAGGATTATCAGCAGAAGCTGTTGTTCAGTAGCCATCTGGACTGTGAAGTTCCTTTTCTGTGTGGGGGTGGGCGGTGGGTCCTGTAATCCAGAGCTGCTTCTGTCCCATCCCGAACTCTGCTGAGCCTTCAGCCGCCCACCCACCTGCCAGGTGTCGGGCTTGGCTCCAACAATATGAACACAAATAATATGTATTGTCCTTTGACCTTATACAACTCATTCCCACAAGGCCCCAGAAGCACAGTGTTGTCTTCTGCAACTAGTGCTCACAAGTAAGCCTTTCTTGAGTGGTAAGCACCCATCAGTACGGCAGTGTGTGATCTTTTCCGCATCTGCCATCCCCATGGAGCATAGAAAATCCCAGCTTTAATGGACCCCCCTCTTTGATTTCCCACCGTGTTAGATCTGAGGTGTGGTTAGAAATGCTAACTCACTTTAGGGCCCTCCTGCCCTTTACACTCGTAAGAACATGTGGTAGTTGACCAGGTGCTGTGGTTCTGGCTTGTGTATCCCTTCACTCAGTCTGTGGAGCCCCAGTAAATGCCCAGTCTGATGTGGGGCAGCAGGAAGACAGACCAAAGTGAGACTTGGTCCTGGCCTCCCTGAGTTCACAGCAGTGAGGAGAGGAGGATCGGCTTTGCTGAGTGCTTTTAACAACTGAACTGTGCGAAACCAGTCCTGGGACCCTTGTGTGTAAATCTGTTGACTTCCCCTCATTCCATTGCCCTCACCTGCTTAGAAATAGATTGGCTCCCATCTTCTCATAGACCTGATCTCAGATGAGGTTCACAATTGGATGCCTCGGAGGGCAAAAGGTAGAGAGTTAGCGAAGCCAGACAGTGGATAAGTTAATTTCCCACAGATGCTCGCTGTGTCTTGCTGCTAGGAATGCTGAGGGTCAAGGCAGTGGTTAGACAAGCACAGCCTAACAGGAAGCCCTCTCCTAAGCGCTGTCCACACTTCTGTATCATTCCAGCAACGTCGTAGAAAAGTGTGTCACTCACGCCTCACGGACAGAGCGTGCCGTGCTCATCGATGAGGTGTGCACCATGAACGACGGTCCCCACAGTGCCTTATACACCATGATGAAGGACCAGTATGCCAACTATGTGGTCCAGAAGATGATCGACGTGGCAGAACCAGGCCAGCGCAAGATCGTCATGCATAAGGTAGGGCGCGTCCGGCAGGATCCAGCCGGAGAGCAGGGGTGCAGACTGCGTGCCCCTTTCTAAAGCCCACAGGAGAGCAAGCTGCACAGGTCGCTGCTCTTTGAGGAGCTGTCCCAGGCTGTTTCTCTTTTTCTTTTATGTGCAGTTGCCATGACCCCACATATTTGCCCCACTCTCCCCATTACCTCTGTGTGAACTGGTAACCCTGGTGCCAGTTGTGATGAAGTGTTGCCCTCTCTGTGGTCTCTAAGAGCTCAGCTGATCAACTCAACACATTGACCTGCTTGCCTTTCCTCCTTGCTCCCTCTTGTTCATTTGTTCCACTCACTTCCGCTGGCACACTGTCCCACAGCCCGCTCATGGCAGACATGAGGGCCTGGGATGATTAAGATCTGATCCCTGCCTGCAGTGCACGGTCTGGTGGGAAACAGCTGTGGGAAGCGTTGTGGGCGCGCAAGGGAGACCCTCACCCTGCCCACCGTCTCCCCCGGGCAGGCCGTGCAGGAGAAGCCAGAGCTAAGAGGAGTTAGACCGGACAAAGGGGACAGAACCCTGAAAGCTTTGTGTTGTGAGTGGGGAGCTCATGCGGAGATCGCCTGAAGAGACCCTCGGCTTCAGGATTAGCCCTGGGGCAGGTCCAACCCGCACTGCCCAGACCATGGGGCACGGGCAGGGAAGCAAACCCACAGGGAGGATGTACTGCAGCTGTGTTGGTGCTGGCCAGTGCCAGCAGCCTCTGGGAGCTTCCCATCTGAGCCCTCAGCCCCTGGGCTCTGAGCTCACTCAGCCCTTCTCAGTTCAGGGGTTGGCCATTGTCTGGCAATGATGACCCACTTGCCCTCACTGAGAACAAAGTTCGGTAATGAGAATCTTTGTTATGGACTCAAGTTCTGAGCCAGACAGGACGCCCACCCACCTCTGATCCCAAACCCTACCACCCGACTGGTGGTGGCGATGGCAGTTGAAGGCTGAGTGAGTTTAAAGTCCTGTGGGGTGTGAGTTCCTAGGTGGCGTGTCAAGATGCTGCTGTGAGGGCAGAGGGCAATTTTAGGGACACTTGCCGACATTTATGCAAAAATAATGTCAGTCAAGCTGGGGAAATAAGAAAGGTGGGGCGGGGTGGGTGGTGCAAGAATATAAGCCAGACTGCTCTTGTGTGAATGCAGGGAAAGCTTCCCAGTGGGCTAGTATTAGAATAAAACCTGAGTCTTTCCAGAAAGAGGGGATGTCATGTGTGAAGACAGGGAGATGGGATATAGACTGAAGAAATAAAGCGAATTGTGGGGGCCAGCGCTGTGGCGTAGCAGGTAGAGCTGCCGTCTGCAGTGCCAGCATTCCATATGGGCGCCAGTTCAAGACCTGGCTAGGGCCAGAGCCACGGCTCACTAGGCCAATCCTCTGCCTTGCGGCACCGGCACACCGGGTTCTAGTCCCGGTCGGGGTGCCGGATTCTGTCCCAGTTGCCCCTCTTCCAGGCCAGCTCTCTGCTGTGGCCAGGGAGTGCAGTGGAGGATGGCCCAAGTGCTTGCGCCCTGCACCCCATGGGAGACCAGGAGAAGTACCTGGCTCCTGCCATCGGATCAGCGCGGTGCTCTGGCCGCGGTGCTCTGGCCGCAGTGCGCTGGCCGCGGCGTCCATTGGAGGGTGAACCAACGGCAAAGGAAGACCTTTCTCTCTCTCTCTCTCTCTGTCTACTCTACCTGTCAAAAAAAAAAAAAAAAAGACCTGGCTGCTCCACTTCTGTTCCAGCTCTCTGCTGTGGCCTAGTAAAGCAGTAGAAAAAAATGTCCCAAGTGCTTGGGCCCCTGCACCCACGTGGGAGACCTGGCTCCTGGCTTTGGATTGGTGCAGCTCCTCCCTTTGCAGCTATATGGGGAGTGAACCAGTGGGTGGAGGATATTCTCTCTCTCTGTCTCTCTGTAACTCCACTTTTCAATCTTTTAACAAAAAAAAAGTAAAGCTAATTGGGTAGGGCGGGTGAGACTGTCCCATCTGCATATCAAGTCTTATTCCTGCCGGGACACCGGACAGTGTAACTTGAAGGAGGGGCTGCCTGAGGGTGGACGGGAAGCTGCCACCGTTGTGAGTGTCAGCAGCTGGTGAGGGCTTTGAGATGGAAGAGGGGTGGAGGCATCAGGCACTGAGAGCTGGAGGGCGGAGCCCAGGAAGCCCTCCCTGTTTTAGATGCGCAGTGCACTGTCTGTTTCAGCAGAAGGGAAGGTGAAGAAAGGAGCAGGTTGAATGCTGTTGGCCTCTTCTTGAATCCAGTTCACAGTGCTGGCGGCCATGGGGGTGGCTGCCGAGGTTTTTGTGTTTTGTCTTTGCATGGAGGTTAATGGCTGTGCTCATCAGTGTGCCAGTCCCAGGGATAGAGGTGAATGCACTAAGAAGGGGAGCTACCAAAATTAAGGGGATCCTGACCCTCACATTGTAGGCAGAGGAAGATTAGCCTTAGGCGCAGTCCTTACTACACTCCGGATTAAAAGCCTAGCATTGTTACTTTTTTGTTTACAGAGGAGTCTGAGGAGGTTAGACAGCTTGTCTGGGTCACACAGCTCAGAATTGGAACCAAGAACCAGGTGGGCTCCTGGGTGAGACTAGTGCCCCGTGTGGGGTGCAGAAGTTGTGTCTGGATCTTCTTGGCCCTTCCTTTGAGGACACAGCTGAATGGACAAAAATGCTTACTTTCTTGGAGCTCACAATGCAGAGTAGCCATCTTCCTGGGTACCATTGCCCAGGGTAGCTTGTGTACGCCGGTGTGAGTTTGGGACAGGAGTTACCGAGCCCTCCGGAGCAGTCAGGCTCCTTCATTGTCTATGTCAGAAGATTAACAGTTAAGCCAAAGCTTGTTAAGGGACGTGGAGGGTACCATGAGCTTTTCAGAGAGCAGAGGGGGCTTGTCTGGGATGGACGGGGCTTCCTGAGGGGTGTCGGTCAGGGGAGAGAACAGAAGAGGGCCTGGGCAGGGTGTGGGAGAGACCAGAGCAGTCTGTGTGCCGTGACAGCCCAGTGGAGAGAAAAGCCGTTGCTGGGAGCCAGTTTGAGAGTAAATAGCTATGCTAGCCTTTGTTAGCCATTTGCCCTTGGCTGAGGGATTTGTCTGCCTTCGCATTTTTTGTCAGTAAAGTGGGGATAGTCACATGACTCATAGTGTCCATCGTTTTTGTTGTCACTATTCGCTTCCCCTGATCTGTGGCTTGGTCATCAGGTAAGCTCAGGATTCATGGAACCCGGAAATAACCAGGGCTTGGGAGAGCCTGGTTGCAGGCATGGGCAGGGGGACCTGTCTGGGCCAGCAAGGGGTGAGTGGGTGTGGTACACTTTTCTCTGGGGCTGTCACAGGAGCGGCTGTGGCTGCCAGTGTCCTGCCATCCTGTGTTTGTGCCCGGGGTCGGGGCTGCTTCTCATCTGATGGGTTGCTGAGGCACTGGGAGGCAGGGCCCTTGGCTGAGCCAGTGAAAAGGCATCCCTTTGGGGGTGTGCGTGTGTGCGCAGGTGCACGGCGCAGTCTCTTCCCAGGCCAGTGTAACAGCAACTGTGCTTCCTCCCCAGATCCGGCCCCACATCGCCACCCTTCGCAAGTACACCTACGGCAAGCACATTTTGGCCAAGCTGGAGAAATACTACATGAAGAATGGTGTTGACTTGGGGCCCATCTGTGGCCCCCCTAATGGTATTATCTGAGGCACAGTACCCTCTCTCCCATTCTCGTTGACCTCACTGGCCCGTTGGCAAATCCAACCAGCAACCAGAAATGTTCTAGAGTAGAATCTGACGTGGGCGGACGGTTGCCCCGGGATTGCTCCCTCCTCCAAACAGGAATCAAATCCACAAGTGGAAAAGCCTTTGTAAATTTAATTTTATTACACATAACATGTACTAATTATTTTTTTTAATTGACTGATTGCCCTGCTGTTTTACTGGTGTATAGGGTACTTGTACATAGGTAACCAGTGTACATGGAAGGCCGCCTATTTTGTTCAATGTTGTATCTATATTCCCCATGCGGAAACTTTCAGGGTGGTTGGTTTAACAAAAAAAAGTTTAAAAAAAAAAAAAAGTTTTTAACTCATTTGCCTCATCGGCAAGTTTTGCAAATAGCTTCCCCAACTCCTCATTTTAGTAAAAAACAAAAACAAACAAAAAAACCTGAAAAGTTTGAATTTTAGTTACATGATCCCAAACTGGCATTTAACACTGTTTATAAAAATATACATATATATATACATATATCTATATGATGAAAAGCATTTCAGAGTTGCTAAAGCTTGGGTTGATGACAGTGGGTTTCTGGAGCTTCTGAAAATGGTCTCAGACAGGTGCTCTGGAAGTGCGGTGTGCGCTGTGAGGGAGGCGACGCCCAGCGCGGCCTCGTCGGCCCGCCGGGCTCGTGGGTTACTGCCTGTTGGGTTTTTTCTGTTAACACTGAAAGACAAAATCTGATTATTTAGCATGAGAAAAAAAAATCCAACTCTGCTTTTGGTCTTGCTTCTATAAATATATAGTGTATACTTGGTGTAGACTTTGCATATATACAAATTTGTAGTATTTTCTTGTTTTGATGTCTAATCTGTATCTATAATGTACCCTAGTAGTCGAACATACTTTTGATTGTACAATTGTACATTTGTATACCTGTAATGTAAATGTGGAGAAGTTTGAATCAACATAAACACGTTTTTTGGTAAGAAAAGAGAATTAGCCAGCCCTGTGCATCCAGTGTATATTCATACCTTTTATGGTCGTAGCATATAGTGTTGTATATTGTAAATTGTAATTTCAACCAGAAGTAAATTTTTTTTCTTTTGAAGGAATAAATGTTCTTTATACAGCCTAGTCAATGTTTAAAAAGAAAAGGATAGCTTGGTTTTATTTGTCAGTTAGTCAGACAGTAGAAAGAGCCTTTCTAAATGTTATTCGAGATGGATTTAGTTCACACTAGTGGTTTTTTTTTTTACCCTGAAAAGGTAATGTTTTGCTTATTTGGTGACAGTCAGAAGGATGTGCAGAAGCTCAGCCCTGCCCCAGCCTTCCTTTCCTTCGGAGCCCCTCCCACCTTGTAAAGTGTGAATTGCCCTCCCTTTTTGTACAGAAGATGAACTGTATTTTGCATTTTGTCTACTTGTAAGTGAATGTAACATACTGTCAATTTTCCTTGTTTGAATATAGAATTGTAACACTACGCGGTGTACATTTCCAGAGCCTTGTGTATATTTCCAATGAACTTTTTTGCAAGCACACTTGTAACCATATGTGTATAATTAACAAACCTGTGTATGCTTATGCCTGGGCAACTATTTTTTGTAACTCTTGTGTAGATTGTCTCTAAACAACGTGTGATCTTTATTTTGAAAAATACAGAACTTTGGAATCTGGTCTGTGTTTGTTTTAACTCCTCCTGCTGCGTTGGAGTGCCCCAGAACAGCTCTTGTGCCTTTTTCTCTGCTTGGTTTGGTTTGGTTTGGTTTTGGAGCGGGAATGGGGAGGGGGTTGGAATAAGGCAGGGCCATCAGACTGAAGACTGAGTCCATTGTGACGCAGAGATGCAGGGTCCAGACCTGTCTAGTGCTTTCACAATCAGATATTTCACATAAAAGCCCAGATTTCCCACTAATGTTAAAAAAACAAAGCATTCAGCACCTCCTTGAGTGTGCACCCAGTCTGTCACAGCCCAGGCCTGGGGCTCGGCTGCACTTCCCGGGTGCTCTTCCTTCCTTTTCTCTCGCCTTCCTGGCCTCCGGGATTTGAGAGCCCTGGCGTTTAGCTTTGAAAAGTACTGGGAATCTCAGATGTTGCGCATGGAAGGTGAGGCACAGGTCGGGCTGTCCGGGCTGCTCCGGCTCCCCCTTTCCTTGGCTGTGTTTGGGCCACTTCTGACTGCACCCTGCCAGCATGAGTCCACACATGGAGGCCAGCGCAGGCTGCTCCAGTGTCCTGGCTTACTCCTCTTCCAGCTCACACAGGAGGCTCACGCTCGTGCAGGTGCCCATTGGCGGTGCCCGCTGCCACCACCTTCCCTGCCTCAGCAGAGGCAGCTTTGACAGTCACTGCCACTGAGGCCTTGGTCAGTGTCAGCAAGCATGGCGTGGGCCCGGCCAGAGAGGCCGCTTGGGCCTGGAGGTGGATTCTTGGGGTGGCTGCCCGCGAGGCCCATTCCCATTCACCGCCCGCTGCAGTGGCCGCCCCAGCTTTGTGCGGGAGCTCTGCAGTCTGCAGTGGTGCTCGCCTGCCCTCGCCCGCAGTTGCGGGTGCTTGCTGGAGGTGGATGAGGAAGGTGGCCTTCCACAATGGGAAGTCGGTTCTGAGGCTTTTCCCAGACCCGAGGCTTGTGGGCTTGGGTTTGCTTCCATCCGTGCACCACCTGGGACCTTGTGAGAGTGACAGCCTTTGTGAGGTCAGTTCCTCCTTCAGGAAGGCGGGGCGGGGGCGGGGGAGCATCTGGGGGCGGGGCTTCCAGGGCTCTTGCAGGGAACGGGCTCTCTGTGTCTCTTGGTAGCAGAGCCAGGAACTATTCAAACTGTGACTGCCACCCCCCGCCCCACCCCTTATTTTGAGCCTTGTGTCTGAGGCCTGCAGAGGCTTCTGAGATAGACAGGTTGAGGTTTAATTCCAACTGCCTCCCCCACCCTGGCTGCAACCCTTTGAAATGTGGGTGCTCTGTGAGACCCAGGGCCCTTCTGCATAAAACAGGAAATAGTGCCCAGGCCCGTGGATGAGATGAAGGATGAGATGAAATGATGCATGCCCAGCACAGTGTGGAAATCAGCCACCTCCTCTTGGTCCCCCTGGCATCACTCCTCTGCCTGTGCCGGATTCCAGTGAACACAACCACCCTTGCTCCTTAGGGGAAGCCACTGAGAGCCAACTCTGCTCCGTGCTCCCAGAGGTGGTCTGTAGGTTTTCTCGCAGCGGCCCTGCAAAGAATGTGCTCGTGCCCACTGCAGAGAGGTGGAAGTGGGCTGTGGGTTCTGATGCAGACCTCTGGGTCAAACCAGCCCTGGGCCTGGGGCTTCCCCCTTAGCTCATCTTGTGGAAGGGTGGAGTCGGGGCAGAGCCTTCCCTCCCTCTGTAGAATTGAGCCTCTTGGGACATGACTGTGCTCTCCATGTCCATCCGTGTCCCCATCTGACCATCGCTACTTGCTATTACCAAGTCTGCCCCAAGCCACCAGTGGCACCCGTGCTCTTGGGCTCTCCTCCAGGGTCCCCCCAAGATGCATTCCTCACACAGCCTTGGCAGTAACCCTTTACCTGGTCACAGTGCTTTGCACTTACATAGCTCTAATTCCTTTAGGCTTCCAGAAAGCCTTAGGGAGGAAAGTGCAGGTGAGTGTTGCTACCCATTATACAAATGTGGAGTTTGAAACCCAAGTTGCACACAGAGTCAATACCCAAGTGAGGTTTGACCTGAGGTTTCCTGTTCCCAGTCCAGTGCTCTGTCCATGCTGCCTTGCTCTCACCACCCCCATCAGCCCAGGAATGGCTGTCCTAGGAGGCTCCCAGTGAGTAGACGCTCTGGAGACAGATGCACCCTGTGGGGCTGGGTAGTGGCTTTATGTAATTACCAGCTGTAGCCACACGAGGGTGCTGCTGCTTTCAGTAACCACCATGGAAGTCTAGGGACCCACTGCCCAAGGTCAGGCTTTCCCCTGGCTCTAGGGTCCCAGAGGTCTGGCATCTGCCCTTCCTCCTCTCCCCCCACCCCATAGACTGCTCAATCCATAGGGATACACTTAGACCCTCAACGCTGAGGGTGAAGGACGAGGTCACCCATCTGCCTTACAGGCACTTGCTTTGCCTTTGACTCGTGACCTCTGGTAAGTCACTGACGTCCCTGAGCACTGGTTTCCCCAGCTGTCACAGCGGGGAGTGAGGGGCGGGTCTGTTCTCACAGAGCTCTGTGCCTGAGCCCCATGCCTCCTTCTGGGGCTACCTCCCTGACTCAACCACCAAGCCCCCCGACAGCCCAATCTTCCAAGGCTTTTTAGGGGCCACAGCTTTTAATGCCAGTTGCACCTGGCCCTGTGTGTCTTTTGTGAGTTGTCTGCCCTCTTCTCCCTTCCATTCTTCATCTGTAAAATGGGATAATAATATCTCTGCTCCCTGGACTTCCCTGGATGCCTGTTGGCACAAGGCTGGGTGCACAGGAAGTCATATTAGGGCTTGTTACTGTCCTTACTGATGGCTCTCTGCTCTGTTGGCCTCCTGAGAGGTTCCATTGGATATTGCCAGCGGCTGCAGTGTGGCTTCTAAGGAGAGGCCCCACAGTCACTTCCGGCTCCTGGGAGAGAAGCCAACCACTGTCTCTCAGGGGCAGCCAGGCAGCCCTATAGTGTGGTCTCCATGGTGAGGAACCGAGTCCTGCCAGAAGCCAGGATCTACCTGTCCCGGCGGCCATCTGGGAGGCCAAGGGTCCAACCAACCGCCATGTGGGCTGCCACCCTGACTGGGGCCTCCCGAGATCCCCTGCCGCAGCCCCCCACCTGCACTGCTCCCGAGTTCCTGAGCCCCAGGAAGAGTGTGAGAAGGTGAGTATATGAGCCGCTTGGAGCCCTGTGTGTGGAGGTCATTAGCCATGCAGCAACGGCCACCGAGCCGCAGCACAGGGACTGGCATAGGTGAGCCAGAGGCCGGCTCCTTGGGCCACACGTGGCCCTGTGACCCAGGCTGGGGTGGGGGAGAACCTTGCAGAGCTGTTGCTGCCTCCTCACCCCAGCCGATCTTGGGACTCCCAGAGTCCTGGGCAGGTGCGGTCCAGGGACTCCCAGGGGCAGCCCCTAGAGGGGCCTCGGCCTCTGTCTCTGGTTCCTCAGGCCTGGGGTGTACAGGAGAGGCTGGCTTACAACGAGTGCCTGGAGCGGGCATGTTGCCTGGCCCCGTAGACGGCTGCGTCCCCAAGCCGAGCACGTTGAGAGTTCACCACCAGCTCTGGCCCCCGGCTCTGGCTCTGGCCACTGCAGGCTCTGGGAGGCAGCCCTGGTGGCACCGATACTGGAGTCCCTGTTGCCCGCGTGGGAGACCTGGGTGGAGTTCCGGGCACCTGCCTCCAGCCCTGACCTAGCCTTGGCCATTGCAGGCACTTGGGGACTGAGCCAGTGGGTGGGAGGGAAGCTCTGCCTCTCTCTGTCTCTCCACTTCTCAAGACAGACGGACAAAACCGCGCGGCCGGCCGCGCTGTGACCAGGGGCCTAGCCCAGAGTTGGCTGCTGTCTGGCGTTTCCCTCTTCACCTCCCTCAAGCCCTGGCAGCCATCGCTTCGCCTGGATGGGAGGAAGTGGCAGACCCGGGATTGACTCCAGAGGGCCACCTGCAGGTTCCGGGATCTGACCCTCTACAGAGGAGGCTGGGGTGGGCCGAGGGAGAAGCCTACCCAGGAACAGAGTTGGGGGGCGGAGCAGCATCTGTCCTACCTGAGTGTAGGTACTTGTGTTTCCTGCCTCAGCTCTGAGCCCATGGTTGAGATCTGAATGCCAGAGCCAACAGGGACAGCGGTGCTCAGGTGGGGAAAGTGACCTGGAAGTCAGGCACCCCAGGCCCAAGTCACTGTGCCTCCCCTTCATGGGTGAAGGCACCTGGGCTGCTCTGGCCCCAACATGAGGTGAGAAAGCAAGTATATTTTTAGGGAGGCTTTTTTCCTCTACCAGGAGAGTGACCCCAAATGCGCCAGTTAGTCCCAGGAATGATGCAGCACCTTCCTCCCCACTCCTGCCTGCCCCCTCCTCCCCTCCACCCCTCCACCTTCTCACCTCTTGTTCTCCCCCATCTTCTCCTTCCTCCCCACCCCCCCATCTTCATCTCTCACTCCCCTCCCCTTCCTTCCCCCCTCCCTGCTCCCTAGTCCTGTGACCATGGAGTGGGGCGACCTGTGGCCTTTGGTGAGGATTCTGTTGGGGGAGGTCCTATCCCAAGTGTCTTTGCAGCAACAGAGCCATGGGGCCAGGGGAAGCCAGGGTGGAAGGAAGCTATGGGCCAAGCAGTGCCGGTGACTGTGCTGGTTCTGCCACACACAGACTGTGTGACCTTGGACCTGGACGTCCCCTTTGCAAGCTTCGGTGTGCTCGCTGGTGATGTGGAAAGGACAAAGTCCCACGTGCCCTGTCCCAGTCATAGCAACCAGTCCTGGAATGTTCTCAGCCTCCTGACTGGACACTGATGGCCTTAATCTGGAGCTGCAGACCTCGAAGGCTGCCTTCTGAGCTGGCGCGGCTCCCGGGGACGGCATCTCTAAGGTCTGCCTTCTGTGACTACCGGGAGGTGCCCCACCACGGAGCCTCTCTGCCGCCCCCTCCAGCTTTGCTGGACCAGGTCAAGGGTATCTGGCCGGGCCATGGGCTTCCTTCGCAGGCAAGTCTGCTGTAAGAGCAATGAAGCTGAAT